ATCTATCGTCGCGTGTCTCTTCTATTACAATGTACGTTTATGAACGCAAAGCGTACATTCACAAAAATGTAAGAACCACTAATATCTTCTCACAAAACGCACGTAAGCTAAACAGCACTCTAAATTTGAGTCTTGCTTGCTTCGCTTGTGTATATATAGAAATATATATATACATAACATACATATATTTGAATTTAATCTAAATATATATATATATGATTTAATTTAGATTCATATATATATATATATCTTACAATTAGATTAAATCCAAACTTTAAATCCCTATGTTAAATAATCGTATAAACCAACGAGTGTGTTCGGGGAGGAACGTAATCACATTTACAGACTAAGCCCGCTAATATTCGCTGGATCTCGCATGACGACATTAGGTATCTTGCGAAGTGCTTCGTTTTCTCATCTCACACTCTCGCAAATTTTTTCGATAGAAAAAACGTCATCAATGTAACGGTGTCTTGTAAGAACAAGAGTTGACTTCAATGAATGGTACACGTACACGTGATGTTCCACGATTCTTCACGTACGACGTGAGTTTCCTTCGTAATCCTCTCGGTAATCTTGTACGAGACATGAGTACTTAAGCTGATCGTAGTTTTTCTTTTTAAATAGTAAAAGAGCGTTCGGGACATGATGAATTCGATCTATAGAATTGTCTCTCTACTTCTGTCTCTTCTTCTTCCTGTCCATAAAGTCGATGTGATAAACTTGCCAGGATATTATATATTACAATCTATTGTGTGCGCGTTCGTTTCTTTCGCTCTTGAGGCGCGATTACTGATTCGCCGATCGAGTAGGGCTTTGAACCGGCGGTTTAATCTATTACGTTTAAAGTAGGAGTAGTAATAATAGCAGCAGTATAGTCATAATAATAGTACAGTCGATCGCTCGGTTTTAAGGGCTCTCAAAATTCTCGACGTCGAACGAGATTGAAGGCGCGGGCCCGTGGGCGTCGGGCGCTCGCTCAGTTGGCTGGCAGTATGTACGTGTGTTAAATTGCATTTAATTCTAAATACGTAGATCGTTTTCGTAATATTCGAGGCGATTCGATTGACCTTCAACCCTTGTGCCGCTCAGTGTCTGTGATATATTTATTTAAAAAAAAAAAAAAAACCGCAAGAAGAGATGAAGAGATAAAGTGACGCAGAATCCTGAGATAATGTTACATAAGTAGTGTCTCACTCTTTGAAGAATAATTAATAATATGAATAACAATTAAGCGTATATCGTAACTACCGTGACGTGTAATTGCAAATTACAATTTCAGTGTAAGGTCCCAATGTGCAACGTAACGTTAACTCGGGCGTTCGGTGCTGCTAAAAACGCGCGCTTTAAATTATAAAAAATACAATAAATATTTATAATCTAAAGCGCCTCTCTTGTACGCGCGCTTATTCTAAAAAATTAAAAAAGAAATTAGAAGAAATAGGTTCTGCATTCGCGCGCAGTATTCTCGTCAGCGTGACCGATCTCGGGCGGAGGGGGGGGGGGGGAAGGGGCTTGAACACGTTGGTTGAAACTGTGCAGCTGAAGGGTCGAGGTCTTTGTACTCCTCTCTGCAATTAATATTTCCCCCCCCCCTCGCGGAAGCGCACGCGAGATTCGTCCCGCGCGAGTTCGTAGGTAAGACGCCCTATCAATACGATTCTTTCGCGCACACCGCGTCGCCGTTATAAAAAATACTATTTTACAGCGCAGGAGGCAAGCTCTCGTCCATGCAAATCACATGCTCACATAGACGGACTCGCATTGGATACAAACGTGTAATAACCACTCGCCACCAGCAATCTCTCGCTCGTACATACATACACGCAAGCACGCACACACACCCGCTATCAAATAAAATATTATTGACCACACGTTCTTGCACGAAATATATGTTAAACGGAGACGCTTAGAAAAATTCTACAGGAAATAATGGATACTACTGTATATACATACGAAACGGATGGAGATAGGAGCGGCAGGCGATCGAATAGATCCAGCAACGGCCGAGTTCGTATCACTATGATGTTTTCGCAGAAGTGCAGAAAGCGAGATTGAGATTTGCAGGAGAGATAAAGAAAGAGAGAGAACGGAAGAATAGGATTACAGTTGCAGCGCAAGACTCACCACGCAAGGCTCCGTGCGATCGTAGCATCCGTACGTCTTACTAGCGGCGAAGTATAGCTAAAGGTCTGCTTTCTATTCTTCTGCACTAGATTGTACTAGAATTCTCTTTCTCGCTTTCGCCAAATATCGAATATACCTATCTCACTTGAAGTTTCAAAAATGTATTGTACAAGTTTTAACCACAGAAATGGATCTTAAGTTTTACTGTTTCCGGCTTTTTTTTTTTTTTTTTTTTTTTTTAAAGCAAAGAAACCTGCGATGCTCACCTATTCGTCCGCGCCGCGTTATTCGCTTCGCGGAGGCGGAATACACCGCGAATTTAATTCCTCACAGCCGTTTCTTGGCGAGCAAAAAGTGTTTATGCATATTTTCATAAGTCTTGCTCACCAAAAAACGAGATGAGCTACCGTCTTGTGTCGCACATAAACGCCAAGTATTATCGAATTAGTTCATGAGATGCGATTACATCTCAAAGAAAAGAAGAAGAAAAGAGGTGCGCCTTCTACGAATGTCGAACGTATTTTTTACCTGCCGGTTCCACGCGTGTAGATTAGAATCACTTACTGTATCGTAATACAGTAAATCGCGATTTATTGCCGAGAATTACGTACGCATAATGAATACTACTTCACTACATGTGACGCAACACCTAGTCGCGCGGAGGACTTTATCTATTGAGGGCTCGCATTTTCTTTTCTTCCTTTTCTTTTTTTCTCCCTTTTTCCTTATCTCTTTATCACCAAACTGACTTGTTGTCGTGTATAACAAATATTCGGTCGCTCTGTTATTTTCGCGCCGATATCTAGTGCATCTTCTGATACATTCTCGTCTTCGACGGCGAAGATCACTACAGATCATCGTTGCCACCATCATCGACACCTTTCACGGACGAGATCTGTTTGCGTTGCTTGCACTCAACATCTTTGCTTTTTTCCTTTTCAATGCCCAAATATATGACTGGTTTAGATTAAGATTAAGACCGAAGCATAAACCAGGCAATATATATCATTCAGAATTAAAAAATTTTTGAAAATTTCAAGCAACGCGAACAAACTTATTAAAACACACAAATAAGAAATCTATTTTTCTTTTTTTAGCCAACTTGTGCATTGTTCATCTTTTCTTTTTTTTCTAATATGGAAAGAAAAAAAAGAAAAATGAATCGTGCAAAAAGTTTAGTTGAAAAAAAAAAAACAGGTCTAAGGTCTCTGACTTTTCTTTGTGATTTGCTACGAAAGCGACGACGATGGTGGGGGCCTTTTCACGCGTGACATCGTCGGTCTTCTGCGTCTCACTGTCTTTGATTATCGGGAATCCATCAGGCGTTTTTAATTCACTTTCAATTCGCCTTCACGATGTGTGCGTACGCGTGTACACAAAGCGCAATTAAGGTGTTTCCGATGATCTACGTAATACGTATGAGAACCGTATACAGGGCATGGCCGTATACAGGAACAAAGGTGATCGATATTTAACGTCCTTTTACGATCTTTTGCGTTTATACGAGCTTCGAAAGATATTTTCTATGCATCACGCATCCAATGCCAGCTACGCTGGGTGGTCTTCATTCGTAAACCATGAGATAATGCACGTTATCTCACGTATTATCCAGAGCTATGTACGTTGAAAGCGAAATGGACGAGATAAGAATTGAAGGCTGATGACTAACAAACTTAAGATTACGAGCCGATTACTTACGTTGCAAAATACACAACATTACCAATGTCAAAGGTAAAAATTAATATCACAAAGGAAACTAGAAATTCCTCATTTTGCGCAATGATTTCCTTGCATTTTTAATCAGCCTAAGAATCTTATCCTGTATGCGGTCATGCGGATCAGATTAACCATGATATTATAATCAGATTTACGATTTGCTTAACGGGCTGCCTGCTGAAACGTTGATGGGATCTGAATGACTATTCGGAGATCTCTCGTACGCGGCTTTGCGCGTTCAATAAAATTAAATTAACATCCTAATGCCGTGTCTGAGGCAACGCGCGCGTGACCTGTTATCAAAAATGTAAAGCGTTAGACGTGTAAATAATAAAACACGCACCATTTTTTCGATGGGTCGAAAACGAATCGCCGATGATACCGATTCGATTTCGGTCGATTTGGTCGGTACGTTTTCTCACGGTGCATTCAATCAAACAAGGCTGTATTCAAGGACGCCGTATACTCGAATACGCGAATCTTGTCTCTCTAGTTGTTTTTTACGCTTAGCTTCACCGAAGTAACAGTACAAAATTCTCGTAGACGGTAATTGCTTCCAGATAGTACATCATTCTACATTGCAGGTGTATTTTCGCAACGACTAGCGCGACGAAATTCTACAGTAATTTTCTCGAACACAATCGGGCAAAACGGTCGACTGCCCGGGAACGGACGAAATCCAAAGATGCTGACCTCTTCCGGCATGTAACATTCATTCCACGTATCATAATCGATGACACACAGATACGTAGGAAGAGGCTATTTATACAAGACATTCGAAATGTCTACAAAACATGGATCTTCGTATATTGATACAATGAAGACAATAACGTCAATAACGACGATGATGGAAAGTTTTATTCCACGTGGACCTTTTCGAAACACAAATGTACAAGCGATGGTCCAGCTGTTCGATTTCTCTCGTGACGTCTTGTTTGCTCCCTCGGATACGTTTCAGAACTGGTACGCCATACAACAGCTATTCCAGTTTTGCACGCATAAATGCAATGTATTTTTGTTGTAAATGAATTTGCTCAAACAAGTTATAAACATCCTCTGGTTGTTATTCTCAACTGACTGCCTCTTTTCCCGCACTTTTCTCTCTTCCTTTTCTCTTTACCTCTCCTTCACGAAGTGTAGATTCTGGCATTTCGCTCTGCATTTCTTGTAAATTAGTCTTATGCATTTTCATCGATGGTAGGTAGCCAGAAAGCCATGTTGGTGCATGCAGACGCCAGCATCATGTACTTGGGATTGAACTGGATACACTGCACTGGTGCCGGATGATCACCATTCAACACGCAAACTTTGTAACCGGTCTCCGCGTTCCATACGTGTACCCTACCATCTGTGGAGCCACTGAACACAAATTGAGAATCCGGACTAAAACTGGCCTCTATGGCAATTCCCTTGTTGTTGAGATGTCCAGCAAAAGTCTGTAAGGGTGTACCATGAAAAGCATCAATTAAACGAATTGTACTACCGTTAGTGGAGATCAAGATGGTCTTGCCGTCTCTGCTAAACTTCAATCCAGTCCAATCACACTCTTTCTCTTGTGACAGCTTGAAGGTAACAAATGGACCCTTATCAAAGCTGCGCAGATCATACAGCTTGATACTTTCTGAATTGACTCCAGCTGCAAAGATAAGACCTTCGGGATCATATGCTGCTACTGGCCGTCCTGAGACATTCATAACCCCGTGACAATTTGGCGAGCGCAGGTCCCACAGTCTCAGGGATTTGTCTAAGGAACCAGAGAGGAAAGTATCCTCGATAGGACTGATACATAATGACACTACCTTTTTCGAGTGACCAGGAAAGTAACGTATATACTTGTTGTCATGTAAACTGAGATAGCGGATCGTATCGTCGACTTTGGTACTGCTGTGTATCGCGGTGTTCTTCGCGTGGGTGAAGTGTATCAAGTCGACGCCATACTTCTTGGAATTGACCGTCCGTACCTGGGTACCCTTCTCGCAGTCGTATATGACGATCTGGTCATCCTCCGAGCAGGAGATCAGGGTGTCGCCGTTGGGCGAGAAATCGATACTGTTTATCCGATCTGTGTTCTCGCGGAATACCTTGGCCACCTTGAAGCTCCTTACCACGTGGTCGACGAGCTTCATGGTGATGGACGGCGCGTCCTCCCTCTCGTGCCGTCCCCTTAACTTCCTGGACTCCACAATCTCTGTGTTTGTGCTGTGACCGGGTGCGAAGACCGCCGGGCTCGGGGGCCGGGCGTGGGTCGCGGATGCGGACGCGGACGCGGCCGCCAAGTTGCCTCCTCGCGAGGGAGGAGGGAAAGCGGAGGCTCGCGTGTCACCGCGGAGATCGTTGAGAGAGATTGAGGTGGCCGCGAATACGGTCCAGACAGAGAGAGTCGGGACAGGAGAAGGGAAGGGGGATGGAGGGGAGGAGGCGGGCTGTCCAGCGGGACGCGGGCGAGGAATCCCCTCGCGCCGTCTTTATCGCCGCAGATCGCTCACCACTCTCTCGCAGTCGTTCACCACCGTGGACTCCCGCGACAGATATCTCTCCGCCGACGTGGCTTTCCTTCTTTCCGTGAAACGGACGCCGTCAGCGGGACCGCCGACCGTAACACCAAAGCACTGCACGTATGTACGCGTACAAATCTTGCAACCGATCAGCCGGGAAATTCGTCGTTTCCTGCGAGTACCTGTACTGTACCTGGGACTCGTGAGCGTATTCCTCGCTCTCTGTGTCCTCAATCGGTAGCGGTGAATTCGGCAGGAAAGCGACACCGACTCTACTTTTTAGTTGGTACTTTGGCAGTCCGTGTCTAGCAAGCGTGAAAGGTCGCTACGCATGAGGCCGCTCCAATGTAAAAAGCGTGTAGAAACTGTTTTCACTGCGAATGCGCCATCTACGTTTATCACCACCGCCGCAGAACTACGTGCTTAGTTATCGTTCGATCGGTAATGTTCTCGGTCGATAATGTCGCGTGAAGCAAATCTCTTTTTTTTTTTTCATTTATTCTTCCTTTTCCAACGCTTAGTTTGTTCTTTGGGCTAAATTTTTCATCTTTACTCTTTTTTCCTTATATTTAATGATATTTAACTTATTTATATCTAATTTTTGGGTCTTTTCTTTCATTTGATAACACAAGCATCATTCTGTCTTTGAATGTCAAGAAAGGTAAAATGAGATTTATGTCAATTTGTGTCACTGAATAGAAAACATTCTATATTTCTTTCTTTCTCTCCAACGTCTAATTGTATCTGTTTCATTTCAAGTGCAGGAAGTACAATATAGTACAGCACAGTACAGTTACACAAAGCGGCCTGTCGCCTACCTATGTTTACGTAAGTAGTCACACACACAGTGATCATTTTTCTGCGTGCTTTTTGGTTTTTTTTTCGCGTAAAAGGGAGATTGTATCCGAAGTGAAGATACGCATCGATGGGTATTTCATTCCACGATGAGTGACATTCGAAAAAAAGCCAATTACTTGGCAGTATTTAAACGACGGACCAAGAACGAGGACAACAATGAATTATCGAGGAGCATCATTATAGGGGCGAGAAAGACGGGCCAGTTAAATCTCTCGTCGAAGGGACTGTCCACGGGTATATTATATTTACGAGCACCGCCTGTGCATACTAAAATTGTAAACTGGACGATGGAACGATCGACGATACTATCGAATTCGCTCTATGTTTACGTTCATATCACGTCGCACAGTTATTTCGAGCATGCTCCAGTTTTCGTTTAGATCATACGAAAGTTTATAATTGGACGGACATGCATGATTGCGATGATAGTATATATTCAAGTACAGTCATGTTAAAACCACGTTTATAATGAGTACTTTTCAGCAAGATGCTGCAATGTGACACAGTGAATCAGTAATAATAAATTATTGACAACAATGTTAGACCTGTTCTTTTTAGTTAAATTTCTTGCTTGACTCATCTTTCTTCCTTTTTTCTTTACATTGGAGAAAAAAGAAAGGTTTTTCTGGGTTAAATTTGGAGATATATTGACCAATGTTTGATGTCAATTAGAATTGCTTACAGAATATAAACTAACAGTAATATTACATCAATATTATAATTTTGTAATAATATAAATGTAATATAACAAATGTTCACGTAAGAATTACATTATTGAGTTATTGAGTAAGAAATCATAATATTAATGTCTGTGTTCTGTGAGTACAGTCTCATTTATCAATATTAAGCAAAGATGAAATGTCATCTTGCTGAAAAGTATTTTAGTTCATTTCAAAAGTATTTTAGTTCAATATACACAAGTCTCAAATACAATACACAGATCTTTTTATATCTTTGTTGTCTGCCAATTATCGCTTGGATGTTGCAATAAGTATTCAATAAGTTTTTATTATTAGATTTATTTGTATTCGATATGATGCTCATGTGCATTGTGAATGAGAGTGCAATGAAAAGCAAGATGTGCATAGTGTTTCCTTATTCACCATTGTGTTATGTAAAAGCTCTTTGTTATATACAAAATATCAGAGAATACATTTTTAAAGTTTTCCAAAGAATTGAATTCAGAGACTTACATGACACATTTATTGGAATCTTATCATATACATATGTACAACAAATATAGACAGTCTCATATATACAAGGTGTTTTGGAAATCTTATAACTGGGAAAGAGATGATTTCTCTTGTTGAAATAAGTAAAGAATATAGAACATTTTTTATATGGAGTTCTGTTTTTGAGAAAATCGAATTTGAATATTCATTAAGTACAGATACACTTGATTAGTCACTGTCAAGTGGCTAATCTGTTTGGTTTATCTGATTGTTTATTACTATCTGTTTCTACATTAATCTAATGTAGTGTAAAATAATTCAATAAGTTTCAATAATGTATTTATTTTATTAATTCAAATATCGTTGAAAATGTTTATAGAAAAAAAATTTATTTTTTTTATTTTACATGAGAAATCACCTCCCTCCTATTATATAATTAAGATTTCTTGAACATCCTTTATATAGATACATGTAAGTATTGTGAATGAGAATGCAAAGAAAGATGTGTGCAATTATTCATCATATCAAGTTCTTTTGGAATGTATGAAAGATAAAACTCATATTTTAATATATCATTACTAGTTTAGGCAAGACACAAAATTGGTGTAATAAATTGGCATTTTTCTGATGAATTTATATTCTAATGTAGCTGTAAATCCAGCAGTGTGAAAGTCAAATAAATCTGGTTTTGCACAATTGTGTTTCTTTTTTTATGTATGTGTATTTTTAATTTATATGTACATATATATTATATATAAATACAAGTCATAAATGTAGCAAAATTCTAAATTTTCTCAGCAAAATATTACGTTTAACATTTATTTTTTATTTAAGTTTAAGTTTAATATTTATTTCATTTAATATCGTATCACTAATGTTGCTTCAAGATTCATTTAAAAACAATTTATGCTTATAATTATAAATAAAACATGCTTGGTGTCGTATAAAATATTATTCATTATCATTATTTTAATTTGCTTTGCATGCTTTGTTAAAAAAAACGTATAATATTAGAAGTGATCATAGGTGTATCCGACATAACTTATTGTTAGTTTATTCGCCATATCAGGTAAGTAAATTTTATATAATAACACCTTCATTGAATTTAATGGCATAGTAACTGTGCATAGTGTAGAAATAGTAGAATTCTGAACATAGAAATTAATACGCGTTACAGTACCTGACAAAATATGGAATATAAACGAATTAACGGAAGAGGAATTACGTGATTTACATTTCGAATTTGATTATGAACCTTTAGAAGAGCGATGGTGGGAACAAGAGCCACTGAAGATGTTAAATATGAGCTGCAATAGTTTAACTGTAATTGATAATAAAATAGAACTTCTAACAGAACTGAATACTTTAAACGTATGTATAAATTCCTTGTTTATTGCGATGATAAAAGTGTTTTCAATATTTCTATATATGTATATGTATGATCTTAAATATTTTAATACTGTTTCTAGTTACATAGCAATTTGTTGGAAGAACTCCCACCTGAAATCGGTTCTCTGCGCAAATTAAAAGTATTAAATCTATCAGACAATAGACTAAAAAATTTACCTCATGAATTTTATATGTTGGAGGAATTATGCGAGTTATATCTAAGAAGTAATCAAATAAGTATACTCGAAGCTGAGATTGGAGATTTAATCATGTTAACTCATATGGTAAAAAATACACATCATACGTGATTATGTAAAGCCAATTTTTTAAATAAAATAATTGTATATACATCTTTTTAGGATTTATCGTATAATAATTTAAGAGAATTACCGATCGGAATGGGATATTTGGTGCGACTAGAGACATTGAATTTATGTCAGAATATAATAAAAGAGTTACCACCTGATGTAACAAGTATGCGATGTGAGTTTCTCTCACGCACAAACGCATTAATAATTGACCACAAAAATGATCTATATTTTGCGATATTCATTATTCGATAAAATGATTATTGTATTTTTCTGATAGCATTGAAAACGTTAGATATCAGCTTTAATCAATTGGAGACAGTACCACCATTAGGTGAATTACGGAAAGTAGAAAGAATTATGTTCCAGTCGAATAATTTGCAGGAATTTCCAGACATATCAGGTTGTTCAGCTTTAACAGTATTGCATTTGGATAACAATAACATTCCTGTATGTGTTAATGTATATTTATGCTTGAGCCAATCAAGACTAACATTCAGCTTGCTATTATAAACGCAGTTTTACTAAGGTAATAATATTCTCTCTTGTAGGAAATTGATCCGCAACGCTTAGAGGCGATAGGGCATCTAAAACAGCTCACAATGCAAAATAATACAATTGAAATAATACCTGAAGAAATAATCAAATTAATAAATTTGGAAGTTTTTGACTTGTCGCATAATAATATATCTTTGTATGTCACATAACTTCTCTTTCTCTTAATACTATGGTTTTATATATTTAGAGTATTCATTAAAATAGATCTTTTTTACAGAATACCTTATTGCATCGGCATATTACCTAATTTAAAGCAATTTGCAATCGAGGGAAATAATATAAAAAATGTAAGAGGAGATATAATACGATGCGGTACACCTCGCATTTTAACACACATTCGCCAAACTATAGATGTTAATACAAGTATGAACACCAGAGAATTACTACCTAGTGCCAGTAACAGTATTCATCCTGATAAGTATGTAAAGACTGTTAATGATATGATCAACTTAGATGCGTGTCATTACACTCAAAAAATTTTTGAAAAAATATTTTATGTGTAAAATTAAAGTATATAATTTATAATAATATAGATATATGATGAAGAACACAAGGTTGTTCAGCTTAGCTGGGCAAAATCTTTCGGAAATATCCGAAGAAATCTTGAAAGATGCAGCGGAAGCCTCTGTCACAACTATCGACTTAAGTAGAAATAAGCTATCAGGATTGCCTAATAAAATGTCGGCAATCGTTACGGTGACAGATTTAAAGTTGATTTCAAATCATTTAGCAAGCTTGCCAGAATGGATTGGTGAAAAGTACAAGTGCTTGCAAATTTTAGACATAAGTAAAAATCACTTGCAGTCTCTACCATCAAATATCGGTTGCTTGAAATACTTGCGAGATATTGATATCTCATTCAATAGGTATTACAGATATAATTTTGATTTGTGCAGAATATGTTTCCAACATTCCTTTTTGACGTAGAAATATAAGTTTATACGCTGAATATTATTCTGTAGGTTTACTGAGTTACCAGAAACTATTTATGATGTTGAAGCATTGGAAAGTTTGATTGCCAACGACAATCAAATCGCGAAAATAGATGTACCGCTGTTAGAAAAATTAAAAAGGCTAGCAGTTTTAAATCTGACAAATAACAATATCGCTCACGTACCTCCTGAACTTGGAAACTTGAAAAACATAAGGTAATAAATATTTTGCTACATAATATTGCTCATATTTTCATCATACATTAGGCGAGTTTTTTAATTCGTTAATTGATTAATCGCATTATGCGCAATTTTGCAATTTTTCTCCATAAATACGATTGATTAATAAATGAATTAAAAAACCTATTGGTACTTATTGTTAGTATAATATCATTTGTTTTCGTATAGATTGCTTAGTATTTTTATCTACAATGTCATAATATAAACGTTTTTTTTAGGAATCTATTGTTATCTGGGAATTGTTTCAAATATCCCAGACAAGCAATTCTGATGAAAGATACAGAAGAAATACTGAGCTATCTACGTAATCTAATACCTCAATAACGCAGAAAAAACAAAATAGTTTATAAAAAGTATCCAGTCTCGAAACTGTTAAATATTTAATTGTTATGAGTGTATTGCGTGGAAATATTATGTCTACGTATAAATATGTTTTTACTGATCTTTAAAAATTATATACAATCTCATCCTAGATGAGACACATCAAGTGCAAAATAATTATAATAAGCTATAGATTAAATAAATATAAACTAATATTTATATTATATAATA